TGTGTTTGTGGCCCGAAAGAGTTAGGGTCGTAGTATGTTATAGGACGCTGGGTGGGAGGCGGTAGTGTAAGCTTGATACGGTAGGGTCTCCGGAATGGATTAACTTCTGTAATACGACATGCCTCTGCAATTGGTACCTCAATAAGGCGGAGGCCGTGCTGCGCTGCAATTGCAGCCCAAGATTTGAGGGCATCTTCGATGAGCTTCGCCGTGACATTCATCCAATCAATACGAATGTGGTAGCAATTGTCGGGATTATGAAGTCTATCGTAATGCAGATTGATCCTCTCTGGGCGGTAAGACTTTTTCCGATGATCGACGTCGTATTTCATCATTTTGCTAAGAACAACCTTGGGCCTCTTTCCGCCCGTCGTCCCCAAAGTAGGTGTCGTACTACCCGAGACTGGCGAGTTTTCTTCATGAATTGATAATGGTCTTTGTACTGCTACTTGATTGGGTCGAGGCGAGTCCTTTAACGGGTTCTCTGACAGAGGCGTAGAGGGGACAGATACATCTCGTCTTCTCGCGTTAAACCAACCCTGTGTATGGGGTTTCGCATATTCGCCAGCAATCTGATAAAAGAATTGGCCGTCACGGAAGGGGTGCCTCCTCTCGACGTGGATGAAAATCCCGCGGTCACGATCCTTCTTTGCGTCTCTGCTAGCATCCCTATCCTTATCTCTGGACTTATCGTCTTCAAGGACCATTAGAGAATTTCCAAGCTCAACCGCCTCTTCTCGACTCTCGAGATCTTCAAAGTTATCAAGCAGCCAGGTCGTCATATCTGATCCAATAAAACAGTAATAGTGGATCCGAAAATGCCATCGCCGTGTTTGCATTCGAATTCCACCTAGTTCGACTGGCTGTTGGATTGCTTCGGCCAGGGCAGCGACGTTGAAATTGGATTTTGAAAAGCGTTCTTTGTTAGACACCAAGCCTTTACGATTCATCGATTCGATATTCTCGAATAGTGGCAACGTCTCCACCTCGGCAGCAATTACTACAGAAGGGTCTTCAGTTTTGTAGACAATATCGAGAGGGTTAGGAACTCGCTTCCTCGCACCGGAACTTTGAAATTGGCGTTCCGAAGGTGATAAGAACCGATGTCGTTGCCAGAGTTGAGCTAGTCTTTTAATGCCCTCCAAGCGCACTTCCTCCTCATCATCTTCATTCCGTGCTACTGGAGCTGAGGGTGTCCGGGGATACATTGGTATGAGCACGAAACGAGCCCGCCAAAATCTGAGGTTTTCTGTCATCTCGTCCGTGTGCCCGGCAAGATACGAATCTATATAATTCCAATTGCGCTCAGGTTTCGGGGTCATAATATCAACATTGACGGTATGGTATGTGTCGTCGAGTAGGGTCTGAATAGCGGGTCTATATAGGGACGGCTGGTCGATTTGCGACAATGACTCGGTCGGTTTCCGTACGTAGATGTTAACTTCAACTTCGGTGCCGTTAACACACGAAAGTTGATGAATCGTGTTCCCAATGCTCATGAAGATACTTGTCCCATCGCTGACAGTCTTGTCTATCGAGAAGACATCCGCTATTCTCACGGCCTTTTGATCAAACGCCTTAGCTACCGATGGGCCGATCACTACTTGAAACCCATGCGCAAACCGGGCACTAACGAGTTCTCGCAAAAATTCTACACGTGACCTAGGCTGATCCGTAGCTTCATCTTCTACTTCTTGGGATATGTTGTAGGGCTGTCGTTGGTATTCGGTATTGAACTGTGCTTGCGTTGGGAAGTATTCTGTAGTCAAGGGGACAGCCGCAGGGTATGATAGGGACTTCCATTTCATAACTTTCATCTCGGATGGTCGTGGGAACACGTGCTGCCACCGGCTAAACAAAATTGAATCGTCGACCTTGTTCACATTCGGATTCGATGGATTAAGAACAACTAGCCATGGTGCCATAGCGGTAGTGGGCGAGAGCGTAGAGGGTAATTCCGGCACCCCTCCTGCTCGTAACTTCGAATTATACAGCTTTTTCTGATCCTCTTCTCTAAGAGCGTTTGAATATCTCAAGTCTCGATCATCAGGTCGTGCGCTTCTAGCAACAGGCGTAGCTGGTATCTGGCCAGATCTTAGTGTACTGATGGGATCAAGGGTTTGTATAGGGTTTCTGATTTGGATAGGGCGGCTTGGTGTTGCTTGCGTAAAGTCCATCGTGGAGTCTGATTGATCGATGGTCTGTAGGATGCTCCCGGTGTTTGTTGCCTTGGAAGAGCTCGGCCGTGCTGTAGATTTAATGGGTGTCATGGGGGTTACTCTAGGGGTTGAAGGTGTTTGGAGTCCGGGGCTAGGAGCTTCCGTTCTAGTAACGTTCTCCGTTCTCAACTCAGCTGTCGCTAGTTTAGGGGCTGCGATACCAAATCCGCGCTGGCCAAGACTAATCTGTCTCATGAACTTTGGCGGTCGTGGTGGTGCCGGCTTAGGTTGAGTTGTGGAGTTACGCCGGGAAACATCAGTAGATACAAAGCTCCCCAATCCAACCCTGCTCGATGATGCCACACTTGAAGAGAGCCCGGTCGACGACCCAGCTATTCTACTCTCTCCCACTGAAGTACCGAATAGGTTAACATCTTCTATCAACCTACCTGTGCTTTCTTCTAGTTCCCGATATGGACAGTTCGGGGGTAAGGGCCGATGCGCCGGAAGCCGAGCTCTGGCTTCGTCGAAATTCTGTAGGTACTTCCATAATAACGTTTCTCCAGCCTTTGTCAACTTGTCCGGGATGAACTTGAGGAAACCATAGACGGGCTCAAACAATGTTTCGGGTACCTTCCGATTCCCTATAGACGTCGATATACGACTGTCGCTACTTAAAAGTCTTTTTTCGCTTTCGAACTTGCCGATCGTACTTGGATAGGCAGAATCAGCGTGTAAAGGTATAGTCTCGATCTCGTTAGTCTCAAGCACGCTCCTCATCTGGAGGTCGTAGAGTCTACATCGAATCGTAAAATCATCTTGACAGTCGCTGGGGGACTGGCTCGAGGCAGATAAGGTAATACCTTGAAAGGATAAAGTCTCTTCCGACTTCCCAGTCCAGTAGGAGATGTGTAGCCACTGGGGCACTGCAAAGGCCCACTCGTCAGTATACAGCGTAGAACTTGCCGAATCAACGCGGCTGGCCAAGTCAGCTGCCTTCGTGGGAGATACCGATTCGCTTAAAGTCGTATAACTACTGGCCAGGAGCGTAGGTTGCTTCGGCGTGCTCTCTGGACTCCTGGTCGGCCGGGGTTGCGATCTTTGGTGCGCCTCGAGGAAATGAGGATTTCGATAACGAAACAAAGGGACAGAATGCAGCGGTATGTTCGGAATACATATTAGGTCGATACCAATTCCATTGCCAACTAGGGCTTCTGTCGTCCGACGCAAGGACTCGTATTCGACTTCGAAGACACCCGGACCTGGACTAATGACCACTATGGAAATGCCGGTCCGCAGAAGGTCCCGATCTATATAATCATGCGCATACAAAGAAGACGCTAAGTTGATGGCTTCGAGGAAATTTCCGTACATAGCTAGAGAGGACACTGCTTTAATCTTACCAGAGGAAGCGCCCTTCACTGAGGAATCCTCGGGGGTATCCATGTCATGGCCCATGGCATCTCGGTGGTGAAGACTAATATCACGACGGAAGACGTTAAACTCCATCTTCAGTTGATGCAATATCTTAGTCCACTCGCCACTGGACATCTCGCTCACGACAACGCGGTAGAAATCCTTAAATGGGCGCCTCTCTCCGGACGTTTGAAATCCAGTATAATAATCATTGCCAAGAGCTGAGTTTGCAAACTCAGTGGTCAACCCAGTGTCATACTCAACCCTCGCAAAAAGTACAATACTGACAAGATGCTTTACTTGCATCAAAGCCCATTTCTTGAAGAGAGCTGGCAAGAATCCGTTCACAACCTTGTAGAACATGATCTCACCTGAACCATCAGAGTCAAAGTCCCACATTTCTCGTGCCATCTGTATGAATAACACGTATCGGGCACATTCGCTACGGAATATTGGGCGGGTGTTGCGGCTGAAAAAGGCAGAGTGGACCTTGCGACCTTCGACGAAGACGGTACTGACGGTTGCTTTAACGGTCCCCAGGAAGTATACTACTTGGCCTTTATATACAGTCCGATCTGTTAAATCGGAGACTGCAAGTCTCCACATGTCTGCACGGGACAGGTACATATCTTTAAAGGTGAGCTCAACATGAGAGGCTTCGATGGCAGGGGAAAGGCTGTCGACCGGGGCGAGTACCACTTGGGTTCCTTTTCTCATATTGAAGGCGACACCAATCTGTTTCGAGACGTACACCTCTATATTAGGATGCCTAGCTTTCAGCTCCTTGGGCATATCCTTTGCGACAAAGACATATCTTCGGTCAGCATCAACCTCGGACTTGGAAACGTCATCGCTTGGGTTAGTAGCCGTGAATGCTCGGTAATAAGACGGCTGCCTCGAAGTACTATATTGGGACCCCTGCATCCTGTCCTGGTCGGATTTTATGGGAGCGATGGACATCAAGGTTCCGGACTGCACAGCCCCTCCAAACAGGTCAAGGTTTAGGAGGACCTCATCACTAATGATGGACTCATTGATAGTGACGCAGCAGATTCGTTCGCTTATTCGCCTGGAATGCGACTGTTCTCGAGGGGTGGAACGAATAGAGACATTATCTGGGGATAGGGGGGGGTCGATCGAAGTCCTGTCGAAGCTGGACTTGCTGAATTGTCGCAGATGAGAAGTCCATTGAGTAGCTCGACGTGGCGCCGAGGGCGAAGGAGCGGCATTCCGAGACATTGTGCCTCTATTATCCAATATCAAATATATCGAGACGCATCATTGCGGAAAGACGAGTTTAGGACACCGGTAAGAAGTTGCAGCGACGCCGCAGAAAATGATGAGAGTTTTACAAGTGGAGGTTTACATTAAATACGTCAGGAAATACGTTAGGAAACCTAAAGCTGCCCCCCGCATAGTAATGTCGGCAGTATCGGTGGCTTCCCTAAAATAATCTGACCGCTTTCCTTTTTTGCGAACCAAACAGTACGTACCTGCATTACCACGGGCTCCAGGTACCTGTAAGAAGTATTGACCTCCATTTTCGGGGAACGTGGAATTTTCACTCTTCACTCGTGTGCACCTTAACATCCTCCATATGATCCAGTTCAGCACCTGCACTATTCGACAAGGCAGCATGGAAATATTTTATGGTTGTGTGATATAGATTATCTGGCTACCTAGGTACGTTAGGTACTTAAACCACCTATACCTGTCTAAGTCATAACGAGGTCATCAAGAGGACAATCCCGTTCAACAACCTGGCTCTTCATTTTATCCATGACGACTTTCCAGGTCAATTCCATTAACCTATCCGCGAGTGCATCGTCCTGCGCCAACTTACTTCCCGGCTCCGGCACAGCTGGCGGACAAATATATTGGCCCGACTCCCCTGTGTATGTCGCCGCAAACATGGTTGATACGGCTCCTTGGAATTGATCCTTTTTAAAAGGCTCGAGGCCGACAGCCATCGCGTACCCGCCCAGGGGGAAAGGTTCAAAGATGTCTTCCTTGCTCATCTTTGTACTCACGAATCCCGGATGGGTCGCATTCATGAGTATGTTGGGATGACCCGCGTTCGTCACCTTCCGAGCAAAATATCTAGCGTATAGGATAGCCGCAAGTTTGCTACGTCCGTATTGTGCATTAGGACCGAGGTCGCGGTTCAACTCTTCTAGGCTCTCAAATTCTGTGTCGCTGGGCGTTGATTGGTGCATGTTGCTCGCCTGGTTGGATATGCGAACAATATTACCTTTCTCTGCGGTCTGCTTCATTAGTGGAAGTAAGCGAGATGTGAGGATCACATGGCCAATATGATTAACGGCCATGTGTCTATCGACGCCATAGTCTGTGAGCTGATAGGTCATAATCCCCCGTCCTGCGTTGTTTATCAGAATATCCAGTCTGTCGCTGTCCTTCGTGATCTCTTCGGCCATCTCTTTTACTCTCTCCCAATCTGATAAGTCGCACTGCATCCACTTGGTTCTATCTGCTACCTCTTGGCCCAGATCCTTTGCGATGGCTTCCTCAGCGCCCTCTACAACATCTTCGGATATGGAAAGGATATAAACTTTAGCAACGTTGTGCTTCAGTAGTGTATAAGTACAACCATAGCCAATACCTTCGCTCCCGCCTGTAATGACGGCAACCTTTCCCGTCAGATCAGGAACTTGGTCCAAACTGAATGGGTGAGTTGTAATATCATGAGCCTTGCCACCGAAGTTTTCTCCGATAGTATTCTAACGACAGTGTCAATTAACTAAAAGCCTCCAGAGTTCTCTATTCCTAGTATTGAAGGAGATAGGCATTATGCAGCCATCCATAAGCCATGAAGACATACCTTGATGGCCTTCATACCCTCTAACAGTATCCCCTGTCTCGACGTAGCTTGTCGAGCAGCCCACGTCGAAAATGTTGCCAAACTCGAACTGGTTCTCAGTGAATAGATCAGAGAGTGGCTCAAACGATACACGACGGGACGGACCGGAGAGGTTCGGGAGAGCACACCGCCAAACATGTGTAAGGAAGCCTGCATTTGAATATAAACAGTTTTTTATAGGAGTATTTGCAAATCACGATATATCACGCCTGGTCGACTGGCCTTTCTAAATGATACCAGCCAGTCTCGTAGAGAAGACTAGTTTACCCTCTATGAGCATTACTAGGTATTTACAAGCCGTCATAGATCCCCATTTTGTGGTCATCGATACTATTTTGTTGGTGTCTTTATATGTTTCGCTTCACCATGACGTGCTGATTCGGTACTGTCGTCAATCCTACGTCACAAATGTAGCGCAGTGTCAGTCCAGCTTACCATAACAATACATCTCGTCTTGTTCAATCTTATGTAACTAACAGATATGATATTATTTCGAACGATGTCATTAGGTAGATAATAGCTCTTACAGTTGAATAGACTCCAATGGCCATACTACTAACCTAGTTAACGTTTTATTCCCGTTCGGATGCACAGACCATCACCTCCGAGTGTTTCTTCGGTCTCCGTCTACAGTGGGTATCCAAAGTGACCCTTGAAATGCTTTGTATTGCACGACGGTAGATTAGTTGGAGAACGAAAAACAGCAAAAATTAAATATGCAGTGCCACCGTGTTCTGATTTTCAGTATGTAGGTGCTCTATTTTCGGGAAATAGATCTAGATGCATCTGCAGCCGAATCTGGTAGTTTGTAAGGTACAGTCTCGGATTTATACCGATCCGGTAAGCTGGAACCGTCCGACGAATTCGTGAGAGGCCACGGCACTGATACTTTTCAGGGTCCGCTATGACTCTCGGGATACTACATAACAATCAAATGTAAGAGCACGTCGCGCGCATTTATAATGATCTGTCTGTCACCTTCTTATTCTGCAAATTCGGTCTACGGGACTAACATATATATCAGGCGAATGTTTTTCCTTAGCGACGAAGAAGACAATACGCATTTGCCCATATCATCTCTTACCGTCAGTGTACGAAGTAGAGATCATCCCCAATCTCCTGGAGCAGCCCATGTTTCGCTGCTGATTCGAAAGAACAGGGGTAATCAACAGTCTCAGCATAATCGACGGCGGTGTGTCCAATACTCCAGTCAATTGATAAACGAACAATTCTTCTCAAGGTCCACGTCCGAATGATTTTGTTCTTTTATGCCTCATTTGATGATTCAAGTGTCATACAATTATGATTCGCAAGTGACTGGAGGCTGGGCAGATAGATACATTTCTCATCGTCTATATAAGTCAACGGACGAATCGACATTTGATAATCAATTGGTTACCGCTAAATATCTCGGATCACAAGAATTGGTACATATTTCAGTTTTAACCGCATGGCAACCCAAATATAAGTTGTAGCCCGTAGCCTACTTAATATCAACGGTTTATCGGACGACATCGCTTCCGACTCTAAACTCATTTTCCGACGACGTTTACCGATCATGGCCGCATTCAAGCTCTCGTCAAAGCAGAAGCTTTTTGCCATAATCGGCATTTCCTTTTGTTTTTTTATTGCGGAACTGGTCGGTATGCTATAGAGATAAATTTCTCCGGAACCTAGTCTCGGGCTAACCATGTCACAGTGGCCTTTTCTACCAAATCTTTGGCTCTTCTAGCGGATGCTTTCCATTACGTACGTCATATATCTGCTTATATGTCCAACGAAGCTATGCTCAAACTTATTCTACTAGATGAACGATCTTATCGGCTTCGTTGTTGCCCTAGCCGCTATCATCGTAAGTTCAACCAGCGCATATTAGAGTGCCTAGTTAAATTAAATCAGCTAACTCATACACCAGATCTCGGAACGCGCAGCCTCCCCTGACAACTTTTCATTTGGTTGGGCACGTGCCCAGCTACTTGGTGCTTTCTTCAACGGTGTCTTCCTGCTCGCCCTCGGTGTATCCATTTTCCTCCAATCGATTGAAAGGTTCATAAGCGTCGAACGTAAGTCATACCTCGCCCTAAAATACGGCTATGTGTTAACAACTCCGTGCAGATGTTCAGAATCCCGAGCTCGTACTTATCATGGGTTGTGTTGGGTTGGCACTAAACATCATCAGCGCGACATTATTGCATGAACATCACGGCCACGACCATGGGGGGCATGGTCATAGTCATGAACATGCTGAGAATCACGAACACGACCACGGCCACGACCACGACCACGGCCACGTTAATGTCGAGGCTGGCGGTCAGTCAAGAGAAAGTTCAGGCGACTATGATCAAGACGAGATTCCCCTAACCGTAAGTTGCTATCGGTTTGTTCGCCCTCGTCTCCCGTTGCTAAAGTAAACTCAGCCTATAAGTGCCCATGCCGAGCATCGGCATACCATCGTGAACCTTCAATCTTCAGGACGAGACCTCGGTATGATGGGAGTCTTATTCCATGTCATTGGTGACGCATGTAATAATGTCGGAGTTATCATCGCGGCACTCGTCATATGGCTTACGACACCCGAGGGCCGATTTTATGCTGACCCGGGCATAAGCATGGCCATCGCCATCATGATTTTGGTGACATCTATCCCACTTGTGAAGAACAGTGGTAAGATTCTCATGCAGAGCGCCCCGAAGGGCGTAAATATTGACGACGTCAAGCACGATCTGGAAAAGGCAAGTAATTCGAAAAAAATTATTCGTGATTCTAGGACACCAAGCTACTGAAAATTTCGCATAGACTAACATGACATGATGAGTACAGATCCCCGGCATCCAATCCGTTCACGAGCTACACATCTGGCGTCTCGATCAGAAGAAAGCCATCGCGACCGCCCATGTCGTGGTATCAAACAATGATATGACTGACTTTATGAGCCGCGCGCGGACTGTGGGCGAGTGTCTACACGCCTACGGCATCCATTCAGCGACCTTACAACCTGAGCTTGCAACCCCAACATCGACATTGTCCACCAATAATAGCAATAGTATCCGTGATAACATAAGCATTGCCGCGGAAGATTTCCCGGTCGCAACCGCTGGAACTGGTCCATCCTCAGGGGCATCGATTAGAAGGCGACGTCCCGAGATATCGGCCCCATGCCAGATAGCATGTGGGAACCTATGCGAAAACCTGACTTGTTGCAATACAGGTGCCATGCGGATCTAAGCGCTAACAGTATAATGGTGCTCAAGTTGCGCTATATTGTTTAGGTAGATATAGCTATGAGACGGCTATATACCACATAGACTTATAATTACCTAGCTAGCAATACTAAATTCGTACGATATTTATATAAAACTAAACTAAATGAGGCAATCACCTCTACGGCACTTGAACACTGTCTTCGAGCTTTATAACAGTGAAACAATCTACACATCAGTCTTTGGCCCCGAGAGCTTCGAGGACACGCGATTATTCTTCATTGGAATATCCGCAATAGTCAAGTCTTGTAGCTACCACCCCTTCGGCCACGATCCGAAGAAATGCCTGAACCTGTCACGAGGTGGAACCAAACAGTAGGAAAACAACTCTGTTGTTCCGCGAGGAGCTCTAATTTTTCTACGAGGATCTGTGTTTATACATTACATACTGAACGTGGCCTTTGTTCTAGATGTCTCATCTAGAATCCCGACAGAAACACTCTTGATACCGTTGCTTTTTACTAAAGCCTGAGGTGGAATACGAAGGTCCTGTATCTTTGCCACCATCTGCTAGTCTGAAACCCGAGCCCGTGGCCCCGGTTTGCGATATATACCTACGTACGCACTTTGAGGGTGTCGGTCCACGGAGTTCAGCCTCTAGGTCTAGCTTAAGTTGTGGTAGATCCCCCGCACCAGACAGGAAGCTATGTTCCCAACTTCGCCTCTGGATATTCGTGGTCGTGGGGTGGTAGCATGGGGTCAGGGGTCGGAAACGTGGGGGGTTCTTGCTGCTTCAAACTCCTCAATCCTTTCTTCTCGCATCTACCTAGGTACTTACATACGCATACATTAGTCTAGGGAGGAGATGGCCGGGAATCGTAAATCTGCATGCATAGGTATGCAGTAGGAAAAAGCAACTCTTGCATATCCGGACTACCATCCTACCTCATCAGGCATATGGATACATACGTATTACGTATACACAAGATCGTATTAGCAACAACCATGACTATGACGTTTTCAGCGTCCTTATTCTGGTCAAAAGCCTTCTTAGTCTCTTTTCCGACGTCGGCTTCGTTCTCACATGATTCCCTCCAGGCAGAGAGGCATATAATCTTATCAATCCATCCATCTACGCACAATGAAACAAGCCCGTTTGGTATGACAAAGATGTCGTGTGACAGTTTCTGCCCCCGTTATTCGTCACCACTAAATACGAGCCGACTGGTTGACAAGGAAATATTTCCGTCGACCTTCTCAAGTCGGGAAAGGACCCGAGCAACGGGGCCGTGATGAGACCCTTATTCTGTAAGTACACGCGACCTAAGTAACCACGCCTATTTCCAATTCCATCCCCTTCTTTCGAACCTTATCTCCTTTTAGTCTTTCAGCCTTGCCGTGGTAACATTCGCGGGTGCTACCTACCGGCCTGCTTGGTGCATGCAACTCCGCGGATGGTAGCCTACGAATGGCATACCCCTGTCTGCATGATCCTTCCCTGCCCAAACATGACATTACTTTTCGGAGCCAGAACCGAGCAATGTCTGTGCCTCGACGTAGATGATACATATGGTAATAACGAGATATCTAGCTAAAGTAGACGGGCGGGTCCGACCCGTGGATGATTCTTCTTTATCTTGTACAGCACGGGTAGGGTATTATTTTTTTTTCAACTTGCATGAGAACATCGTCCAATCACTATCAATAGATTAGGTACCTAACCTAATCTATATCATGAATACATTCATACTAAATCCCAATTCATTAGTGCTATATAAACTGCTCGGGGGCATCTGAAGCCCCAATATCAGAGATCTTATTGTATAGCGTTGCATGATGTTCATATTCGCACAATATTACTACATAATATAGGCGTCGTATAATTATATTCCCTATCGACCTTATCCACTACCCAAGATGCATATCAGCTTGCCGACATCCTGTCTCAGCCACTAGAGTTCCCGGATTATTTTGTGGTGATCGATTATAAACCTTGTCTAGTATTGTAGCTAGGCGAATCAATATGAGGGTTCTAAAAAGATCAATACGAAATGTTCAAGATATTTCTACTAACTAGGCGTAGTTACTACCAATAACAATGTACCTCCTTTCGTTTATTTAGTCAACAAAGCTCACTACTTAAACCATTCGTCCTAATATTTACTACGTGGGGCTACTATATATTTTTACTAGAAGTTGTAGGCAGTAAATCTTATTTTATCTACCAAAGTAGAAATGGTATGCGTAGAGTCGGAGGAGGACCCGTATTTCGGACCCGGGCACATTATATTGGACCCACCCGGCCGGTGGTGGACACCGGTCCAGCGGGAAGTCCCAAGACATCATGTATTTAACAATATGAAACAAAAAGCTCTGCTCTATTTACTTCTCATACTTGTAAGATATTTTGTACGCATAGTAACGGCGGAAATGATTTCGGCAATAGAATGTAAGAAAAATATTTGAAGGCTGACGTCAAATCTGGAAGCGGGGGTGCAGCTCTTTTTCGTCATGGCGGAGATTGATTCAAACCCTAGGTCTGTTCTGGTGATTCCGAAGCAAATAGTCAAATACAGTGAATAGATTATCCATATAACTAGCGGGGGGGGGGGAATGTATCATCTAGTAGATGTTGATGTATTTGGTACAAAGTAACCTTGTGAAATAACTACCTAGGTAGGTACTTAACCTATGAAGTCATTAATCTTGATCACTGGGTTTGATTTTATAATTCATCGTAGTATGATATCCGACATTGCTTCATCCCCATGTGCTGTAACATAGACATAGCGATGATCTTAATGTACCTGATAGCGGGGATAGCCTATTTCGATGGGAATGAGAAGTCACCAAGTTATTGCTATGGCCAAGTCGGAAATAATTAGGTTAGTTAGCCGAATACGTTTGTTGCTGGGCGGCGTTATTCCGCATAAACATATCCGATTGTTCCTGTCTGAAGGATTGGTAGAGTTTAGACCTTTAGCTCACTTAAAAGAAAATAGGCGAAATAAATAAATAAGATATAAAGATGATACGGTATAACGTAGTAAAAACCATCTCAATATGTCGCCAGGAAACTGCTATTCGCTGGGTCCGACCAATGACCTTGATAGGCAGAGACATGAAGTTGCAAATTCCTGCTCAGTTACATCGGTAAGTAACTAGATCGTACCTAGTATCTACCTATTAAGAAGTCACAAGCTGTGACATGCTAGTCCAATTTGACGATCTGCGGCGCAGTCAAGGGCACAGTTCAATCCATCGAGAAATCCCCGCTCCAGTATGAGAGGTCGAACCAAATAAACAAAAGAAATGTTTATTGGCGCCGCGTCGTGGGTATTCCGTGATTTCAGTATGACTCCGCATATCGTTATTACGCAAGCCTGGATATTGGGAGACTAGTTTAATACTAGGTTCGGTAGCACTGATCTCGCCCCAGATCTTCGGCTCAAATTACAGATCTAATTTGGAGGAGCAGATCACACCGGATGGTTGGAGTGTTTAGCAATATAAAGCTTGTATCATGCCATTGACGACTCCGTTGGTGATGGTGATGACAATGATGGTCTGGGGTAGCTTAGGTAGCCAGCAAGCGAGAGTAACCAAACAATGAAAATCTTGTTAGAGATGACATACAAGTATAGCTTGACCCAGTGACAAGGGTATCCCAAATGACTAACCTAGTAGGAACACGCGCTTGATGCAATACCTGCCTGGTCAAAGCGCTTCGGCAGTTAGCATAAGAGGAGCAACGTGAGGAAAAAAAAAACTTTTGCTTTCCACCTTCTCCATCGGATGATTATCTATAAAGTAGCGCATCTAAGCTGCAGTTTGCTAGAGCTTCTAGAACTAGTATTCGAAGCGCGGAGCCTATGATAACGTTCCTGGCATCCAATAAGACCAACGACTCACGAGGACATGAAGGCTACACCTCTAATCCATAATTTTTTTTCTTTTCCGAAGCGGAGCTCACTCAAATCGCGCAGCGCTATCCACTAGAATCTAGGGTGGTCGTTTGATCGCGGTGTAGCCGCGGTGTAAGTACAATGGATGTCAACCTTTCCCTTACGTAGACCTACGATATTAATAGCGCCGGTATGAGGTATATACCTAGGTACTGAACAGGAGTTGGTATCTCCTACAGAGTATGGCATATCACTTTAACGTCTAGATCCTCGTGAAAGGCCCTAAATAGCTAATAATAGTACTATATTTTGAAAGAATTGTAAGGATCTACTAATCGGATAGGATATATATGATAAATACGCAAAATAAGGCCATAAGCTATAAATATGAGAAAATAACAAATGTATCTATATTGAATGCATAATTGAATGGTGATGATTATGGCTATTTAATCAAAAGAATACGACGAATATTAGACTTTTATATGGCCTGTGACTTAAGATTACATAATAATACCCTTGTTCTTGGCGATGTGGCACCACACCAGTTCAGTACCTACGTATACGTATAGCTCTTAGATCCGTACCAGCCTCTGGTGGGGCTAATAAACCGTTATTTAACCGTTATTTCATCATTTAAATATGTAAACATTTAAAAATTAAAACTTAAGTAAACGTTAAATAAAAATTTATATTTATTAAAATTATTTTTAACGTTTTAAAGTAATTAAAATATTAAAAAATATTAATACATAAATTTATTAATATTTTTAAACGTTTAAGTCATTTTAAAACGTTATAACGTTTATAAAAAAAAGTTATAAAAAAGCCACGGGAGTAACGGTAAGCCACGGGGGCAACGGGAAGGTATAAATTAAATACGTATATTATATAAACATAAAGGTAAATGTTGGATTGATTATGTATTACGTAATAATATTGAATAAGACTTAGATGTCTTGGCCTTGGATCAAGCCTTATTAGACCTGATATCAAGGACTTTTAAATGATGAAACTGATGATGAAAAGGAATGACTTGTATTAAAAGTGGATGATGCTATTGATGGTCGTGTAACACTGACATAAAGGTATTTTATTGATGATAAGGTGCCCTTATTGTAGATAAGGGAGGAAGAGATAAAATATCTGACTTTATTAGATAAAAGGGTTAGGTATTTACTATTATTGGAATATAAAAATATGCTATATTTAATTAACCTTAAATAGATTCTTCCCTCTTTAAATATTTATTATATATTAATTTTAATATTATTGTTTATTATTATTTTATTTATTATTTTTATTATATATACGTATTTATTAATATTAATTAATATTATTAGATAGTAGTAATATAAATTAGTAAAGTTAAAAAAGTTATTATTACTTTAATTCGAAAATCTTTATTGTAATAATACAAGCGATATTAGCATTTTTTTTCATATT